AACCACGGGCAACCCTAAATGATCCTATGACGAATCGACCCATCCGGAATGATAAGTTGAAACAGATTTCTCACAACTTTGTAAACAAGAAGACGCGTGGACAAGGACTCATTCTGTCTTTCTTTGGGCCACAGTTTCTGGAACAACCTACCAAAAGTATTCTTTGTACCTGCCAAAATGATGGTCTTTGAAGCCCAAACTTTGCCAAACAAACTATTACGACACACAGTCACGCCCTGGGCAATGTCATCAGTCGATAAAAGCACTAGCTCTTGTTCCTCATGCGTGAGCATAAGCCCACGCATTTGATCAATCAGGGTAGCCTCCATAACCCCAATGAAAACAAAAAAAGAAAAGAAAAAGAGAACACAATACATACCCAACCTTCGCTTACGATGCAAGTTGACTACGATAAAAAGACCTACAAGGCAACAGAGAGAACCAGAGTTATATAACCCTAGAAAGGAACATACTAGAAAAAGAGGACGTACTAGAAAAGTAGAGAACATGGTCCATAAAAGACCACAAGTCAACAAACCCCTATCCCAAGACTGAACGATGATGTCATGAAAGAAAGCGTCTGGAATAGTCGGTGTAATCCAAACCACAGACTGTAAAAGGATCATAAATAAGCCCACGTGAATCACCTAATCAAGAGAAGAATTGAGAGGTTGGGGCATAGGGTTAAATGAATACCACACGTGGGACTGACCCAGCAGGTCCCACCATTAAGCTTTCCAAGTACGCGTCCCCAACCAACCACGTAGCCACTCCAACCAGAAGCATGATTTCCTAGGAAACCCTATCACCGGCTAGATAGAACCAGCATCATAGAAGACCAACATAAAAACCCAAAGCACAACCGTCATGGCCGAAATCCACCCAGAGGTCATAAAACACAGACCCAAACGGAACTGGCAGTAGAGCATAACCCCCATAACCAGCAGCAACCATCGTCAGCAAGAAACCGACCAAACAAAATGCGAGAAAAATTATCCCAACGGAATATAAAACCGGAGATCTAACATCGGCATCACACTCCACCACATCCATAGGAAAATAACCCCATGACCCAAATGAATACGAAACCATGAATATCCATTAACGATAGACATAGCAAAACGGAAAAAGCACAGAAGAAAGCAAAGAAAATGAGAAGAAAATAAGAAGAAAGAAAAAGAAAAAAAACTCTGATCTCACAGAGAACTCAGAATCACCGAGGAAACCCACGTATGATTGATTACTAACTTACATCCATTTGACAAAACATTGACACCCTGGCACATTGAAAAGTCAACAACATATTTAGTCTAAAACAAGAATGTTGTGATAAAGGACATCGCCATAGGTTCCAAACCCTCCTACTACACCAAGTCACCCAAAACTTCAAAAGACATCACTATTGAGTCACTCAACATCCATAGTTCGTCATTGAGTCACCAAACTCTGGCACTGCACCAGGTCACTTAAATCTCAATAAGCATTGCCATCAAGTAATCAAACTCTGGCACTGCACCAAGTCACTCAAATGGAAAAACTTAGTATCATATTTAATCCTCTGACAAAGGCATAATTAATTCGGCTACCATCGGTTATTTAAGGACAAAACGCATTTAATGCAATGGATAAGAATACCTAGTAGGTTCCACGGCTCGATGAGAAGAAGTGACCTCTTAGAGTCATAGGATCATCATAACTACTCATATAGCCATGATGTATGACAAGGCTGGGTAACATCTGTAGGCTATAAATAGGAGCCCCATGACAAACATTAAAGGCAGAACAATAAAGGATCTCTGTCACAACAGTAGTACACATCCCTACCTCCACTTGTGCGCTGACTGACCAACCAGTTTCTCCTCCTTCCCGTTCTTTCTCTGAATCCTTCTACAGATACTAAGCTACTTTCATTAGGTTGTTACAATGGCTATACTTCTTGAACTAAACCAATCACTCTCTCCTGTTAGACTTTCTAACTGCCCTAAAACCAGAAGAATTTTTTTTATGACAAAGTCTATGTTTTATCTCATTAATTCTGTTATTATAACTTTTTAAATTACTCTTTTCCCATTAGTATCTTCAAAAGTTTTTGCTTTAGACCATGTTGTTTGGAAGTTTCTGTCACAGTATTAAGGAAACAAATGCTTTCAAATTAATTAGATATTGTGTTGAATGCAACTTTTGCAATGGTTATTTTTCCTATACCACAGCCCCACAAATTCTCACAATATCTTTAACACATTGTATGGGAGAGTAATCACTTTGTTCGTAATTTACCCCCCATTTGGTACTTTGGCACTAATAAGCTATATGATAGCTATACAACAAGTGTGGGAATATTTACAACCGAAGTTAGTATAAAATTGTATATAGCCCGTGGGGGGTGCAAAGTCGTCCTAGTATTTGTAAGGCCAACTTAGATTCTCTATTATTAATGTTTAAAGAGTTTCAAATCATTTATGTTGTATTTGATGTGCATAAATGTAATGGAATGAAATGTTCATCCATTAATTTGGTATGCAATTTAAAGTGGGATTAGCCATTCCATTATAATGAAAATCATTTCACAACTAAACCTATTGAATGGTCATTCCATTCCCAAGTAATTTTTTTTTTTTTAAAAAAATCAACTTCTCAAAAACCCTTTATATTTCAAGTCCAAAAACCACCACCACCATCGCCGCCACCACTACTGTCTTTCACCACCACCACCACAACCACCTTCGCCATTCAGCACTGCCACCTCCATTGCCTTCCACCACCGCTACCGCCACCAATGTTGTCGTCTTCAACCGCCATACTGTTGCCACCTCCACTGCCTTCCACCACCGTCACCACCACCATCACCACCACCACCACCACGGACTTCCACCAATACCACCGCTTTCTACCACCACCGCATTAGTATTGCCATTACCACCACCACCCGCCGCCGCCTCCACTACCTTCCACCACCACCGCCAATTCTATTACCGCCACCACCACTGCTGTAAAACTAGTGTTTTGAAACACGATTTAACTGTATTAAAACATCTTTTCAACACAATTAAATTGTGTTTTAACATACTACTTTAAGTTAGAAATAATGTATTGAATCAAGATTTATACGTATTGAACGCAACATAACACGCTACACCAGAAGATCCAAACTCTTTGGCGAGAAAGGAGAGGGGATCTAAATTTCACATCATGTGGAGGGATCCTCTTGTGGGTGGACAGAAAAAGGGGAGGCAGAAGTCAACAAATACCAGGATCTAGGTTGTTATGGGCTTTTATGAGGAGTTGAATTCAAAGACTTTGCAGTGGAGATCGAAGCTTTAATGGGATGGGCATTGCAAAGAAGGGACAGGGAGTGTCTAGTGGATAGAGAGGTCATTTTCAGTAGAAGGGTGGTAAATTGGTAATCCTCTCGAGAGTTCTACTAAACCAAGGAAAATTATTCACTTTTCTTTATTTTATCCCTTCATTAATTCCAAGATTCAAAGAAGAACTTGGAATGGAGTGAATTTGACGTGAGATCTTGGTCCATTCAAATCTATGAATTTGGATTTAAATTTTGAATTCAAATTCAAAATGAGTGAGATATGGATCTTCGTCATGAGTTTGAGTTAGATATGGATCGAGAGATAATTCTGAAATGAATTGAATTTTATTTGAATTCAACCGGAATTAAATATATGTTACTTTATTTGGATCCTGTTTAAATTATACTGGATTCAAATCTGAATACGAATCAATACCGATCTAGATTCACTTAAATTCGCACCAAGTGGACCTCTAATTTAAATTGTAATGCTACGTTTGGTATGCTAGAATGGAATGCCTATTCCAACCATTCGTTTGTTTGGTGTGCAGGAATGGAATGGAATGACCATTGTAATAGAATGAAAATCCATTCCATTACTAAACCTATGGAATGACCATTCCATTCCATAATAAGATTAAATATTTTTCTAATATTCCCAATAAACCCTTCATCACATTCCAATAAGGCAAAAATATTTTGCATAGACCAAAAATCTTTCACATTCCATTTTTCACATTTTTAGAGCTTTTTTATTAGACGTGGTAAAGGTCTTTCACCTTCACTCTCTTTTGAATATACTCAGAATTGCCATTGATAAAAAGTTATAAGACCTTCAACCATATTATATATATATATATATATATATTATTGAGATTGATATATCATTAATAATATATCATTAAATATATATATATATATATATATATATATATAATAGCATTTACATCAGCTTTTTAGGTTAAGTATTCAACCCGTTTTTGGATAAAATTGTACTGACAAAATATTAATTAGATTGATTTTATTAAAAAATAATGAAAAATGTATTTTTGAGAAAAATCATTCCATTCCATATTTAATGATAGTCAACCAAATAATAGAATGGTAATAATCATTCCATTTCATAACGATTCACCGTGTCACACCAAACATTAGAATGGTAATACTCATTCTCTTCCATTCTCATTCTCATTCCATTCTAAGTTGCATTTCATTCCATTCCTGCACACCAAACGTAGCCTAAATGTAATAGTATGCTTATTAGAAAACTAATATGACATGAAAGAAAAGTAGAGCAATTTAGCATAAATCCCTCTGTTCTCTCATTCTTCTGACAATCAAAGTGCATGCACACGCACATAAACACTATGAACCAAGTGACAACCAGTAGAAGGAACCCAAATGAAATTCAATCATGTGCACATACACACACACATGAACACTATCTGAATATATCAAACCAAGGCATCATTGTTAATGATATTAGCTGATTGATGAAATACCATAGCCACCAGATGTTTACACAGTACTTGCATGAAAATAGTCCCAATGGATCAATCTGGTTTTCTGCACGGTTGATAAGATAAGAATGGTTTGTTATGATCCTCAATTATTGATGGATATGAGGTATAATGAAGCATTTTTTTTTGGACAATTTCTTCATGAACAGGTGAGTTACAACTTACATCTTGTGTCATTGGGTTCGGAAAATAAGGCTTAAATTTACAATGCCATGGGCTTAAAGTTCACAATTCAAAGTTCACACTGTCATCAGCCTGCAGCTATGCTGCAGCTATATACAGAGAAATGGAAATCAGGAAGTTATTGTACAGGGCATTGCCAAAATAAGGAGAAAAAAGAATAGGTATGCGTAAACAAAAGAAACTAAACCGTTCGTGGGTTTAAGGTTTGAAGTAAGATTTCTAAACTCTATGATCTAGTTGTGTTCCATTCTTCCTACATGTCACTTTGACTAGTGAAAACAGAGAGCCCAAAAACGAGAAACAAAATCTGAAAGACAGTATGATTACCATCAGTTTGCCGAATGAATTATGAATTAGCAGAGACTCAAGAGGCTCTTGCATTTCTCCCACCCTTTCTACTCACAGCCTCACAGAGCCGGCATGGTAACGTGTCTAGGCTCACTGCACATGTCTTCCTGTAGTTACCCAGTACACCACATCTTCTCCATGCATGGTATTCTGCATAGGCTACAGGATCATTAGCAAGGGCCCTCACATAAATAGCCAATTCCTCCAGGGAACCGAATTTAGTCCCATCTATTATTGAATGCGGAGGGACAAAGTCCAAAACATTTGGAGCGCCAAAATAGATTGGGACTGCTCCAGAGTCGAGGGCATAAAATAACTTCTCTGTCACATAACTCTCTGTCATAGTGTTTTCAATAGCAAGGACAAATTTGTAGTGAGACATGGCACAGTGTAGATGGTCCCACCATTTCGGAGCCGTATTGGCATCCTTGGTGCACTCTGGGTACAAAGAGAGTGCCATGTCTAGGCCTCCAACATTATTCAAGCACTTGCCAAATGAGTGGTGATGCAGCAAACCGAGGAGACTTTTGGCCACTATGTTTCTTTTAGGAAGACACCGTGATGAAGACCAATAAACAAGAGTGTCCTGAAAACAACCCCAGTAAAAATTACAAGACTTGGTTTTTAAATTGATAAGAATATTGGTATGACAAGGAAAAGAATTAAAAGACAACTTGAAAAAATATATAAAATGAACAGCAGAAAAGTGGGTTGAGGGAAGAGTCCTGATTGCTTACATTGTTCTTAAAAGAAGACAAATGATAGTTTCGGTTATTATGAAAGAGGGCACCAGCATAAGTTGATTGAACGTCATCTTTGGCATGATAACTTATAAAAATGTCCTCAACACCTGATCGCTTCCTGCCAGCCTCAAGATCCATGTATACGCGCAGTGGATCTCCATTGTGTCTCTGGCAAACATTAGAAAACCCCACCATGAAGAAGCTGGGCAAGAAAAATAATCAACACAAAGCAGGATACCTACGTGAAGCAAAATATAATAGTGCCTTCTCTTATTCCTATAAGGTGTCAATCAATAGTTGGAAGCTGGAATGGCTGTTGTAAGATTCAAAAAGAACATAAGAACCCATCACTTGATGAGTTCCACTTGTTTTTACTGTAAAATGGAAGGAAGTGCTCCGGTAATATTTAACCATTTCATCAGCGTGCCAAGTTTTTTTTAACAAATTGTAGATCAATCAAAATATGATGAAAAGTCAATGTTTAAACTCATTTGATGATTTTGTAGCACAGTTATTAGATGATATCGACTATCATATAAACCACACTGATCATTTTTATCGATGAAGTATTAAGCTATTGATCCAGTGTCCCTTTTGGATACCCATTCAAAAAAAAAAAAAAAACTATAATGGAAGAGAAAAACTGGCTAGGTGTTTGGGGAACCATGCTTTGTGTCAGATCTATCAAACTAGTCACTACTCACTAATCATAAATTTCTAAGCATTTCAAAGAAAAATTTATAACAAACGTAATAGCAACAACTATTTCATACTATTCAAAGGTAAGGCAATTTAGCAGATCAACAGGTAAGGCAATTTAGCATTCAACATACAACCTTAAAATTGACTAAATAATCATGGTATTACGAAGGGATGAGATGTCATGTCAAAGCATTGTTCTTGTACCCAATATTCTCTATCCCCCTTTCATGGCAAGTATCAAATAATTAATAGTTTAGCATTATTAACAATTTAACTTACCATCCAAATAAATCTTAATTATTACCGTGCATACTAACTCAACATTTGCATTCATAAACACAAGCGATGCTACGGTATAAGTCTGAAGGTTGAGTAATCTCTTCCTATAGAAGTGCATAGACTTTCTTAGGCAAAAAAACATACATAATTTTTTTTTTTTTGATAAGTAAAACACATAGGTAATTTGGTATCACGTTTGCCTTTTACATCTCGCCTAGCAGTTTTTGGTGCATTGCTGAACAATATAGAGGCAATAAAGAAGCGATCAGTGGTAAAACAAGAGCCACATAGGCCCGTATAAGGAAGGAGGATATGGCACTTCAAAGTATAAGAGCAAACTATGATAGCAAAAATGATTACACGTCACACAACCACCTTAAGATAAGTTGATGCTAGACCAGACAATGAACAATTAAACAGGCCCAGCTTCGTTAATGACCCCTATCTAGTTCTGCTGCAAGAGGCTTCCATCATTCCATGCACTCTGATGTCCTTGTTTTAGTGAATGGGACTTTTTTTTTTTCCAGTTGTGTGTTTATGGACAGGAAGTCCTCATTAATACATTCAGCCAACCATTAGCAAACATGACCTGAAAACATATTCATTGTGGGTCCCTTTTCTTAATTGATTTCAGAAAGAAAAAAAAATAAAATACAAAAGAACTTAATTTCATGATGCTTCCCCCCCCCCCCCCCCCCCCCCCCCAAACAAAAACAGCAACTTGGCCAATAAAGCCAAATTCATGAAATCTACACATCCATCTTGTCTAGGTAATAGACTCTTTAGCTCATCTAACTAACAAATGACCCACCTTCTCCTCTGCCAAACCACCCGATGAAAATCCCTTTGGAAGATCTTCATCCTCTCCTAAGAAGAGGTTTAAACATAGAGAACTAACAGAAGAGAGGTTGGGTAGTGATAATGGTAACTGTACCCTTTTAAGAGATGCAGCCTTCCTTCAAAGAGGCCAGCCAATCTTCATTAATTTTCTCAACCACTGTTTCCTAATATTCAAAAGTAAGCAAAATACCGCGCAAGGAAAACCAATGTAATTGAAAGGCCAAGCAAAACAACCCAAGATCCTAACTAATCAGTTCATAGTCTTGGCATCAATGTTGACCCCTGGAGTGAAACTCCAATCTAGGTTTATCTCAAAGCCTAATGCCATTCAAAAAATGGACAGAATATAGCTTCAGTTGCCTATGCAATCATTTGAGGTCTCCAAAAAAAGAACCAATAATATTGTCAGCGAGAAAGAAATTAGAACTCTAAACTCTAGCACTATCTGCTACGAGCCAAGTTCTTAGCTTTGAGGAAGAAATGACAAGAACTCAAGCAGAAAACAAAAAAGAAAGAAACAAAAGTTTCCCTGTCTTTGACCTCTCTAAAGCTTAGTAGGAACAACTCGTAGCTCCATTGGATTAAGATGCAGTGAAGGTGCAAACCATCATACATTTTTCCATTTTTCCACAAAGCTATTATGTTGAGGAATAATCCAGAATTCTCCTTCAAAAATATACGGATTTTGAAGTCAATTTTCACCATCAAAATCTATCATTCTACGATGACTCTACCCTCTAAACATTTCTCCACTCCTCTAGTAGCAGGTATAAATTGCCTCCATTTAAGAAAAGCATATCAAGAAGAACCTACAGTGTTGGCCAACACAATTCTAAGATGTCTAGAGACGACCGATAAGGCTAATAGGTTTGGAGTCCTAACAGACAGAATGACCTGTCACCCACAATTCTTCACATATTGCTAATCAGAAAGTTAGGCAACTAAAATTGTCATAGGCCAAAGTTATTCTTCCAATCACCATCTTCAAAACAATTTCTCGCTTTAAGCATTCAAAAATGTTGTGAAACCCCAATCTTGATATTACTCCAATCTAATGTCCAAAATATAACAGTAAAATCAACAAGAATTTAGAAATTGTATACAAAGACAGGAGACACACAAAACTTGGTGAGAGAAGTGACTGAAGTCCAGGGGCAAGATGATCCAACTCTACATGCAAAGCTCCTAGAAATAAGTAACTAGAACAAAATATCTCAATCAGAATTACACCATAAAACTAAGCAAAACTAATCCTACCAGAAAAGAAATTTCCAAAACCTGCCCACCCCCCAAAAACCACAACCACCACCAACCAGCAACAGCACCAATAACAAAAACTTAAACTCCACTAAACCTAGAACTATGTGGGGTAGATATTAAGAACAAGGTGACATAATATACTTGGGCAGGAATTGCACGCTAGGAATCCTGCTGGAGATCACAACCTTCGCTGCCCCCTTTGTCTCAACAAATCATGCATTTCCCAATTTGGCAGCAAGGGAAGGAGGGGGACTCCCGCAGCATCAGCAGTGAATTCTCCATGCAGATGGAGCCATCTTATAATATCCAAGTTTTAACTCAAATAAGGGGACTCAACAATCAAATCCTGTTACCCAAGCTCAAGGAGAAACAGATAAACATTTCACCAACATGACAATCATTTCCGCACATACTTGAAACTGCCATAAAAAATTCTGCCGCCATAGCAAGAACATCAACATAATTAAAATTAAACTTGTATTTGTACAGACAAACACACACGCATATATATACACATATAAACAAACCTATCTATACAAACCAGAAATTTGACTTTGGGGACCGGTTAGTGGTAGAACAGAAGATTCATCTCAGACAACAAAGTGGTGGACTTATCATCAGTGGGACCGGAAGGTTCTTGACAAATGGATACTGTCCTTTGGAGAAGAATTGACTAATGGATGACAGTAATGATAGATATCAAAAGAAGGGTATACTTCAAACTTGGAAGGAACATCCCGTGGTTCCATTAGCCACATCAGCAGAATTAGTGATGGACACATAACCCCTAATTCAGTTCATCCATCTCTCACTAAAACCTTCATTTACAAATAAATAAATAAATAATCCACTTTATAAACCTAATTAGTTAATGTGAGAACAGTAAGATCAATGGTGCATAGAAAACATATTCAGAATAAATTATAGGCCGTACATAAACTTCGTTAGATAAGTGGCTAAGTTCCAGAGCATAGGTGATCCAAGGAAACTTTTATGAGCAAAGATTCAAAAGTGGAAGAAACAATACTCGTCCTAATCAGGAAAACTCCAAAAAACTAAAAAAACCAATTCAGATCCTACAAAGAAGAAACTAATTAACTAAACAATACGAAAATTGAAGAAGCAAAGAAAAATAATAATAATAATAAATCCCAGCCCATTAGACCTATAATTATGTGAATTCATTCATATCAAAGTGAGGCAATATATTTGGGTTGGAGACACCGTTATTGGACTCCTGCTGGTGCTCATTCTTCACTGCACCTGTTTTCTCAATCTATTAAGCCTTCGTCCTATTACTAAAATATCAATCGCACTCCTATATTTCAAATAACAAATGACGAGACTCCTCCGCAAACAACATTTCTTTTTCTTTTCTTTTTTTCCGAAAGTTCAAGAAAATGCACACAAATCCACAATGTTGCCCCTAGCTGGGCTCCTGCACTCAACTTCCTCTTAGGTAGGGAGGAGAGATCATACCATCTAGGCTACCGTTCATGGATCTCCACAAACAACATTTCTTTTCAAATAGAATAAAATTCCCATATCACCAGCATCATACTAATTTCTTCAGGCACCCAAATTGCAGTCACAAGATCCACCATCGTCATTACATTATATAACATATCACACACATTCACACATATAAACGTATGTACAAAATAATTCAAACATTGCTATTTACAGAAGTCAATATATTTACATTTTCTGCAACTCAACCATTTCAAAACCTCAAAATAAACAACTGCGCTAACAAAAAATAAATATATAGAAATACCTGAAGTGGAGGTGTTGTTGTCTCGAACAACAAAGCATCAGGCTTATCGGCAAGAATCGAAGATTTGGTCCATAAACAGCTCGTCCCACATCGACATGGATACAAATTATCCAAATTATCAGGAATCCAAGTCCACCCTTTAACCAAAACACTAACATGACTCATCTTTAACTCGCTACACTCCAATTCACCATCAACATCTTGCAAAGAAGAAGACGACGATGATGACTCGTTTCTCAACAACTCCTTATGCTTTTCTCTGAACAGAGAACAACCCACTTGAGAGTCCCATTTCTTGAACGCACCCAACAAGTCCCTAAATGGGTCCGGTTCAGATTCGGAGGACAATCGAGAATGTTTAGCCGAAGGGATCGGAGAGGAGGCAGATGGGAATTCGAGAAAACCAGAGAAGAAGAGGATGAGAACTGCGAAACCCAGCATTATTAGTGCGACAACGAAGGAGTTGAGGGATTTCAATTGCATTTTGGGATTGAATTGTCAATTGGGTCTTCGCTCTTTCTCTCTCATGCGAAGAGAGAGAAAATAGATAGAGAAGGACACAGATCAAAGGAACTTCATAATGCTCTCTTCTTTGGTAGAACAGTTACGTTGTTGCTGTCTGAAAATCGGAAGTCGTTGCATCTGCCTGCTAATTTGACTAAATTTATGGGCTGAAGTTGAAATGGACATCAAGCCCAGTTTAGGTTTGAAGAGGTTGTTGTCCAGGCCTACATTTTCGTTTTTCTTTTTATTTTTTGGGCCCCTCAAGCCAAACCAATGTGACTATAATAAGAATTCAACATAATTTTCTTGGTTTTTTTTTTTTATATATAAATCTTTTTCAACAAGTCTGGTGGTGAAAATAATTCTTTAGAATATAGTTGAGCACACCAACTAAATCTTAAGAAAGGTGACAATCTTTTTTAATAAGCAAATTGTCAAAATTTAATAAAAGATTAACATAATTTATCCTTAACTTTTATTAGGATGTTTCAAAAATTCAATTTTGAACTCGATGTGAGTTGCTTTTTCAAAGGATCAATTAATCCAAACCAAACTTGAAAACGAAATTTAGATATTGCATAGGAGAATTTAATGTGACATATATTTGTTTCCTTTAAAAGAGTATCTAATTTTGTCATTTCACTCTAATAGTATTTAACAGTCAAAAAAAAACCCCTTTCCCTTTTAACAAATTTTTATAATAATCCCAAAATACATTTAAGGAAATTTTAGGTATTTCTTTTTTAGAAAAATAAAAATAAAAATAAAAAACAAGATTAAAAATAAATAAATAATTTTTAAAAAAATATTGTTTTTTATTAATTTTTTAAAAAAATTCCATTATTTTATTATTATTTTTAATTTTAATTTTTTTCTTTTTAAATTTTATTTTGTCTAAAAAACATTTTAGGTATTTCAGTCTTCAAATTAAAGATTTGTCCTTATATGCCCAATTTGAAAAATGTAAGGAGTTTTTTGTAACACCGGATATTTGCATTTTACCCTAATAAAAAGAAGGGTAATTTGCACTCACACCCCTTTATCTTTAGGTCAAAGTCACTCAGCGGTGGTCAATGCACTAGTTAACATTACCCATTGAGGTTTCAAATGCATACATACACACCCCCTCTAGACCTCTGATAGTCGAGAAAATGACTATTTAGCCCTTTGACTTGGTCAACAAATACATAAAAAGTGTAAATTGCCAAATATAACCCTATAAAATAAAGTTAAATAACCAAAATAACCTTCATCATTTTCTCAAATCTGCACCCTCTATCCTCACCACCACCAACTTGTAATTAAAGGGTTTTTTTTTAAGAGGTGTTGGCGCCAACACCCAACTTGTTGATCTCTCTAATTCGCCTCCCAATTATCTATATACATTATACACACACCTGAAGATAAATATATACACTTCCCTTCACCATCAAAATTAGAGGTTGCAAAGTTTAACACGACACGAGTTAAATGGGTAATGGGTTTACCATAAACAGGTTCATATTGTAAACGGGTTGACACGATTAACCCGTTTAGTTAAACGTGTAATGTTCGGGTTTTAGGGCTCAACCCGTTTATACCCGTTTAATTAAATGTGTCACCTGTGAAGCCGTCTAACTCGTTACATGTTTTAACTTGATTAGTATGGGACATTTTGGTTAAATCATGTTTACATAAGTAACCCTATTATACATATTATTCGCATTAGTCATTACGCTGCGCCTCTTGTTCTCTTCTCTTCAGCCTCTCTTTCCTCTTTCTTGTAACGACCCGAACTCGAGGGTCCGAATCGCTTATTGGGTCCTCACCCAAACCCAATGTCATCTATGGGCACTACGATCATCTACAATATCAAGACACAAGTAATACATCGTTCTAAGGTTTTTAGTACTCAATAGTATCAACAATTGGGCTGAAAATGGGCGTGAAAGAAGAATAAATGAAAAGTACAAAGCATCAGAAATCAGTCGTCCAAAATGGCTATTTCGGTCGTCCAAAATGCCCCAACCGGTCTGTCGGTTGTGGCTCCCTCGCAAAGTTAGCTACTGGAATTATTCTAAAAGGAAACCGGTCGTCCGAAATGCTATTTTGGTCATCCGAAATGACTCTGAAAATGATTCTTCACCTGCAGAACTGCTATAAATATATGGGAAGGAAACAACCTCACTTGGGCCCTTATAATTAGTCAGACTTGTCCCAACTTACGGCAAGTAAGATTAACATATATACACCCATTAAACAATCATTTTGTACATCATTAATAATTAAATTATACAAATTGTCTTTACACGTTTACAAAGAATTTAAATATATAAATGAGGCTGCCATGGCTGTAAATACAACATTATGATACTATGAAGAATTCTAGCGTTGTCTAAGTCCGTGAATGAAAGTCATACGTCCATACTCCTCCGGTTTCTTGGAAATGGTAAGATAAGGGGGGTGAGCTCAATAAATCAGTAGGAAATGCCAAAACACCGATTTTGGACTCCCTTGAGCCAACAACCAAAGAACGGGAAAAAGAAGTCGGGATCATACATGGAGAATTATCAAAATCACAATCCACTTCATTCAATTTAAAAGATTATCATCACATAATCAATCATAATCATATATGCCAATATGCCATGAAATGCAACGTTTTCCCAACCACATACCCGGCCAATACAACACACACTAAAAACTACTAACCGACTTTATTGAGGCGAGATTGATAATTATCCCTGATTCCAAATCCGGTAACCATTTGGGGCCTAGTATTAACTTTTTCACGCTCTACACCGGGCCGTGCTCTCTCTAGGTCGAATTAACCTCGGGCTCGCGAAACCCGGTTTCTTTCACAAAACCATTTCCTCACATCCCTTTTCAAAGACATTCTTTAAAATCATTTCAACGTCATGTTCCCCAAACCATGCCCATGCTATGAATGAAATCATCATATACATGCTTGGAACTTTATCAATTTAGCCATACATACTCATCATCATCATGTATATATATGTAACATCAAGAAAACAATTTAAACAACTTTGCAACCAAACACATATATATACACACAACCAATATCATCTTGAACATGCTTCGTTGCATAAACACACAACCAACATTTAAATCCCAAATTTTATCATTCTAAGCATGCTTGGCAATAAATTAAGTGAAAAAACTCAACCAAAGTCAAAACATAATGGCTTAGACATCCCTACCTCAAAATACAGCTAAAAGGCATCCCCGGCTGAAAAGTCAATGCCGGTTAACGTCGGCCAAATGAAAAACTGTTCGGTGAGATTGTAACCGACGCCGAGGAGAGTAAACCGTCCCAAAGGCGCAGCTCCGAAATACGACTCAAAATGGCTCAAAACCCCCTCCAAAATCTTAGATCTAAAACTTTCAAAAATTCATAAAATATTCATCGCTCTTCTAAAAATTAAACCATTGGACTATATGTGATAGATGACAATGAGATGAACACTTTCAGTCAAGGAACTAAGCCCAGAAAATAACTTGATCGGCCGAAAAATGGCAGAAAAACTTGAGGCTTTAAGAGAAAGGAAAATGGAAAAGAAAATAGGAGAAAGAGAGCAGCCACGGTTTTTGTACTCGTCGCGGGTCATGGGGCGGGGACGGGTTCTAATACAAATCTGCCCTGCCTTGCCCAGCATATAATTCTACTTATATATATGTATATATATATATATATAATAACTTACAACCCTAACTTAAGTTGTGAGGCTTACCAGTTATCCACAAATCAGAGCAACGCATCAAGGAAAGTAAAAAACCAAACCGTCTCTCTCTTCTTCACTAGTCATCAAATGCTCAGGCAATCACCACCAATCAACCATAACATTTTATCTCAACACAAGTAAAAGATCGGTGATTCAGCTTCATCTCTCTTTGCCATCTGGTTCGATTAAATTTCTCCGCCTCTCTCTATATCTCCACCCTCACTGGCTCATGCCCTCACTCGTCTTTATTTTTTTACTTTTTTTTTTTTTTTTTTTTTTCCTTCTTTTGTTTAGCCCAGAGGATTTTTTTTTTTTTTTTTTGAATAATTTGAATATGAAGTGACCATGTTGTTATTATCAGTAGTCATAATCAGATGTTAATGACTATACTAAATTTGATTTTAGTTTTGTTTTGTTTATTGTGGATCTGATTTGGTGATTGATTATATTTAGATTTTAGATTAATGATTTCATATGTATGTTTGTTACTAGCAAATTGAAGAAAAGGTTAATACTGGAGTAATTTTGAAGTTATACTCTAATTGCTCTAAGTCACTAGATTTTTTTTTTTAATGTTTTTTATAAAAGGATTCAGGAAATCTAAGCAGGGAAAAAATAACAGCAAACTTTTAAGAATGAAGTTTTCTGTGTTGCAAGACTTATTCAATATTCAATTTCTGCCCTAGATTTTTAAAACTAATTGCTCTCTGATTTGTGATTATAATTTTTTTTGGTTAATGTAGAAGGTAAACTATTAACGGGGTGGGCACAGGCTCTCTCATCTCCCAGTGTGGTGGGGATAGATTATTAAAATTCAACCCGTCTCGGGTATGGGGCGAGGATGAGTATATATATAATCAGGCAGGGCGAGTATGGATTTAAGGAAACCTACTCCAAGCCCGCCCCATTGCCATCCCTAGGGCCCACGTAATCAACAAATATGTCTTTTGTCTCTTTATAACATATACACACATACACACATGCCACAACACCCCTCTTGGTACGCAACCACTCAAACATGCACCAACTAAATAAATATGAAGTGTAATGATACTGAAAAATAATCCCATATACGAAAAATCTGGGAATGGGTCCCACCTCCTGGACTAAAAACTGAAAAATATTGAAATGGCCAACAATACATTTCTAAGAGTTCTGAACTAGAAGAAATGTCCCAACAACTCTCGGGACATACTTGGCACACCCCACGATGTCCGGCATGCAAAACGAGGCGATAAAATTAAAAAATCTGAAAAATCAAAAAATCCCCGAAAATGGAAAATCCAGAAACATTACTTTTCTATAATTTTATGTTGCCTCTCTCTCTCTCTCTGAGTCCCTAACCAATAACCAGATAACTCCCTTTCTCTCTCAAATTAATCTCTCAAATCCACACCACACTTCGAGCGACTAGAAGGAGAA